TTGGCCATCCTTCTTTCTTCTTCAGAGAAGTTTTTCTTTAAGTCTTTCGCCCACTTATTTATTGGGCAGTTGTTTCTTTGAGGATTTGTTGTTGGGGGGTTTACTTGGCTTTTTCACTCAAGATTGGTGCTCTCTGACTTGAGCTGGTACTTTACCTCTTGAGCCTCTGCGGGACTGGCTTTCAATCTTCATCCTGAGATCTCAGACTCTTCAGTAGCTAGGATTTTAGGCATGAACCACCAGCACCTGGCCTCTTATTTGGCTTTTTCGCTTGTGGCTTGTGCGTTACTACACCAACTATACTTCTACTGGCTTTCTGCTGGTTAATTGAAGAAAAGAGCCTTGCAGATATTTCTGCCCAGGCTCACTTTGAACTGTGATTCTCAGGTCTTGGCCTCCTAAGTAGCTGTGATTATAGGCATGAGTCACTGTCATCTATCAAGACTTTTTCAGCTTTAAGCAAAAATTCTTGGCTATCTTTTCTTATTTCCTGTCTCATATAGTTTAGAACATATAAATTTAGCATTAAAGTCTGAAGGGGTTGCAAGAGTGCTAAGAAATGTACGCATTATCCTGCCCATGTAATTGTATCTCTTCTGTACAGTATGTTCACAAATAAAATAAAATTAAATTAAAAAAAAAGAGTGCTTGCCCAGCAAACAAATGCAAAACCTTGATTTCAAGTCCCAATACTGCTTAAATAAATAAATATTGAAGCCAGCCTAGTTCAGACCAAAATATAGAACATGGTTAGCAAAAGCAGTCCTCCAACTTATATCTCATAGCAAGTGATTGGTTGGTATTTTCTGAGAGCATCTATACTGCTGTGTTAGATTTATTTTTTTCTTCTACTGTATTATATGATTCTAATACCAGATGTCAAAGTTATTTTCCTTTTTTAAATTTAATTTTGTTGTCAAGGTGATGTACAGAGGGGTTTGATAGTGCATTTCTTGTCAAACATGGTTACCCCCTCCTCGAATTTATTTTCTCCTAGGTGTTTGTTCTATGCTTTTCATCAAATGGATGCTCAGTGGACTGGGGGTGAATTAAAATGTTTCCAAATTACTTCCTATAATAATGAAATTTATTTTACTGTAATTAATACTTCAACTCTATTCATTTCAAGAATCTTTAGTTTGGGGATATTTGAGAACTCAGGATTTTCATAAAATAGTTCATCATATTTTGATGTAAATTTTTTTTATATTTTGATTTCTGTTTGGAAGCATGGCTTGGATTTCTAGAGACAAGACACAACTTTCTTTGTTTTGTTTTTTTTTTTTTGTGAGTCGTGGGGCCTGAACTCTGGGCCTGGGCGCTGTCCCTCAGCTCTTCAGCTCAAGGCTAGTATTTCTACCACTTGAGCCACAGCGCCACTTCCGGCTTTTTCTGCTTATGTGTTGCTAGGAATCAAACCCAGGGTCTCATGCATGCAAGGCAAGCACTCTACCACTGAGCTACTTTTCCAGCTCCGAGGCATAACTTTTAAAACTAAACTTTTTATTGCTTCTTTTAACATAATGTGAACGTTATCTGCAGATCAAAGACGAAGTGCCTTTTCATCCAAATGGAATTCTGTGATAAAGGGACGTTGGAGCAATGGATTGAAGCAGGAAGACTGAACAAATCAGACAAAACCATGGCTTTGAACCTATTTGAACAAATAGTAACAGGAGTTGGTTATATACATTCAAAAGGCTTAATTCATAGAGACCTTAAGGTAAGAGGGAACTATACTTGGTTAGTTGCTCAAAATAATTTATTCTCTTCCAATTTTAGATTTGTGATTAATCAAATTAGGATGAAAAAAATGTCTCTGATCTTCCTGAGGTTTGAATGGGTGTAGTACTTGTCCCTAATCCCATTCCTTGCAATTACTTAGAAGATGTCTAGGGCTGGTCAACAAGAATGTTAGTGACATGTTATTCAAGCACAAGGCTTGGGGTTCAAACCCCAGTCCTGCCATATTGAGGGACTGAATCCAGGACTTCATGCATGCTAGGCAAGCACTCTACCACTAAGCCACATTCCCAGCCCTCATTAAGCCTTCCTTACCCTCAATATTTCTATTTCTTTCTTTTTTAAAATTTTTATTTATTATTTCTATCTATTTCTGCCACAGTAAGAGCAGATAAGAATGAAGATGAGAAAGAAGCTGGGCGCTGGTGGCTCATGCCTATAATCCTAGCTACTCACAGGGCTGAGATTTGAGGGTCTTGGTTCAAGGCCAGCCTAGGCAGGAAAGTCCATGAGACTCCTATCTCCAATTAATCACAGAGAAAGCCACGTGGCTCAAGTGGTAGAACACTAGCCTTGAGCTGAAAAGCTCAGGGACAGCTCTGAGGCCCAGAGTTCAATCTCCAGCACTTGTGGGGAGAAAGAAAAAAAAAAGAATGAAAAGGTGGGCATGCACTTTGCTTTTGTACTTCGCAGCTTACCAGTTTTGGGTGGCATTGCCAGAGAATGGTCTTTACCTGTTAAAATATCTTTATAGAGAGACTCTAAGAGTTTACCCCCTTTTTGTTGTGAAGAACTAGACTGAAAGCTCTGGGGAGGGTCATCAGGTTTCTGGAGTGAGTTTTCACCTCAGGCTGCTCCTTTGTAGAGGGTTTTCTGCATTGCTCTGAGTAGATATCTATTCTTGATCCTATACCTTGTATATACAATTTGTACCTCAGCAATCCTGCATTTATCTATAATGAATGTGGCATCGTTGCTTTTCTTTTTCTATTCTTTCTCTTTGGTGCTAGTACTGGGAGTTGAACTCAGGGCCTGGGCACAGTTCCATGGCTTTTTTTCACTCAATGCTGGTGCTCAACCACTTCAGCCATAGCTCCACTTCCAGCTTTTTGGTGGTTAATTGGAGATAAGAATCTCCTATATTGAATCGAAGTCCTTCACCCCACAGCTGTTCAGTTAGCTGTTCAGGTAGCCGAAACCCAGGCTACCTCTGGTCTCACTTGTAGTATTAAATCCCCCAATTTGGGCTACCTGGCACCAGTAAACATAAAAGTAGCCATTATGAAGATGATTGAAACATGTGATAACAAGCTGTCCAACTGATACATCTAAATTTCATTTTTTCCCAAGCCCAGTAACATATTTTTAGTAGATGAAGAACACATAAAGATTGGAGACTTTGGACTTGTAACAGCTCTAAAAAGTGATGAAAAACGAACAACAAATACGGGAACAAGGCGATACATGAGTCCAGAGCAGGTAAGGTCCCCTTTCTTTCTGCTTATTTACATTTTGATCTCTCATTTATTCATTTTTATTTTTGTGTCAGTACTGGGGCTTGAACCCAGGGCTTAGACACTAACACTTAGCTTTTTATTCTTTTTAAGTTTAGAGAGTACTTAGTTTCTGTAATCAAACCCACATAGATAAGACCTTACATATTTAATACAGTTCATTTATTCCTGTACTAATGGGAAAAAAATAAGTTTTAGATTTCTAAACCAATATGGTTGACCCTTAGCTTTTGTTGCTTAAGGCGAACACTTTACCACGTGAACCACAGCTCCACTTTCAGCTTTCAGTGGTTAATTAGATAAGAATCTCAGATCTTTTTCTGACTGGTCTGGGTTTGTATCACAATTCTCAGGCCTCAGCCTCAGCCTCCTGAGTTGCTAGGATGACAGGTGTGGGACACTGGCAACCGCCTGCCATGTTCTTTTTAACAAATGTATTGTGCTCCAAAGCAGAGAGATGTTATAATTTATTCAATGATAGCATTATTAAATAGCATTTATTTAGTTTCCAACTTTGAATGTTTATAGACCTGCTACATGCATCTTATCTTTGTGGTCAAGACCAAATGTCATTTTTTCCATATTCCTCATGCTTTCCAGACATGTCCCCCAACCCTAGGGATTCCAAAATCCACAGATATTTTAATCCCTTCTATAAAATTGTGTAGAATTTGCGTGTAATCGATGTGTATCCTACTGTATGCTTAGTAAATGTTGTGAATGTTAACTGCCATGTAAGCTAGGCTTAGCAACTTCTATGCTGAAGATTGGTGCTCTCTGACTTAAGCTGGTGCTTTACATTGAGCTTCTGCAGGACTGGCTTTCAATCTTCATCCTGAGATCTCAGCCTCTTGAGTAGCTAGGATTGGACTACACACTAGGAACACTGGGATAGTAAAACCTTTAGGTCATATTCAGCCTCTAGTCTTGGGTCCGTCCCCTGGAACTTTCAAAATGAGTCTATCTTTTGCTCCTCAACTGTTTAGGTACTTTAAAGCAAGTGCAACCCAAGCTACTTCCTTTTTTTTTTTTAACCCAAGCTACTTGTGCTGTCTCGTGAGTCTGTCCTTCCTTCCTTCCTTCAGTTGGTATGGCATATTCTCTTGGTATTGTGATTCTCCTGCCTCAGACTCCTTTGTGATGGAATTATATGTGTGCACAATGGTGCCTGGCTCGTTATATGTTCTTTAGGAAATAGTCCTAAATAACAGGAAAATGAGTCTGTTCACATCCAATATGGATATAATTTTCTTTTCAAAGCTGATTTACAGTGAGCTGAATCTATAGGTTGAATAGATACAGTGGGACAATTATATTTCAACCTATAATAGATCCCATGAATCTAGGATCAATTCATCTGCATAAAATAAAAATGCATTTCCAATATGGTGAGTATAGCCAAATTGTCATTCAAAAGGTGATTTGAATAACAAGTTCCTACTGGAAGTATATGAGCATGCTGCCTTCGCAAGAAAATTATCTCAGGCCTCTCTCCAGTCAGTCCTTCCCCCTACCACCCAGAGATAACCAGTGCTCTGATTTCTGGTGTCATACTTTAGGTTTCTTGTTCTCAAACTTCCATCTTGAACTTCATATGAATGAAATCATTGAGTATGTACTTGTTTCTTCATTTAAAGTAATTAATTGTTGGAGAACTTTCAGTTTTGTCTTGTGTAAGCAGTAAAGTCCTTTTACTGTGTGACTATGCCACAATATATTTTTCCATTCTCTTGTTGATGTACATTAGGTTTCAAATCAATATTCAAAAAATATGCTATGAATATTTACATGCAAGTCATTATTTTAAACACTTTACCTGCTGTGCCTCATTTAACCCTGCAGTCAAACTTTGTGGTCAATATTATTAGTATCCTATTTCAAAGTTGAGCCAATTCCCATGTTAGCAGTAATTTATACAGGTGATTCTGCTATTCAGTGGTATAGATTTGAACCTGCTAACAAACATTTTTATGGGATGTAAGATTTATGATTCAATTACTTTATTTTTTTGGTTTTAGAAGGCATAAATACTTTTATCAGGTGAATAACAACGACAATTGTATTTTGGTCTCTTCAGCTTTCCTCAAAGGAATATGGAAAAGAAGTGGACATTTTTTCTTTGGGGCTAATTCTTGCTGAACTTCTTCACCAGTATCCCACAGTTATGGAAACAATAGAGGTAAACAATCTCAAAGAAATAATTAGCAAGCAAAAATTGTTATCTTCTGAGTACCATGTAAATAGTTTCTGCCATCCTTCAAGATGTGAATATATTCATGTCTTGTTACAAGTAAAATATGAATTTTCTTTCTTACTAAGTTCTGTTGACCTATTTGTTATACACCAAAGATTTTAACCTTGTTTGGAAGATGTATACATTTCCAATTTGAGTCTTCCCACAAAATTTCATTGCTTGCTTTAAGGTAGATGCTTTACTAAACAAGGAATATAAAAAGGAATACGCTGCTGGGCACTGGTGGCTCATGCCTGTAGTTCTAGCTACTAAAATGATTGTGATTTAAAGAGCACAGTTCAAAGCTAGCTTGGGAAGGAAGGTCTATGAGACACCTCCAATTAGCCAGCAAAAAGCCAGAAGCAGAGCTGTGGCTCAAGTGGTAGAGTCCTGAGAGAAAAATTTCAGAGACAGTGCCAAGTGCAAGTATGCCTGAGCATGCATACACACACAAGATAATAAAAATAAAATAATAAAATAAAACAGGGGTGATGAAGTTGGCTACCATAGAGGGTTTCAAAATACCAAATGTTACAGGAGGCTGTAATAAGGATGTTCTGTGAGTGCTAGAGTCTTTCACAAAGATCAGAAAAAAAATTCTAAATTTAGGTCTCCTTAGTCATTACCTTGTTCTGTTTTGTTTTTGTTCTTCACAAGTTCCTAGTAAGTGTTTTATTTTCAGATTTTTGAAGATCTAAGGAATGGCATTTTCCCTGATGTATTTGACAGCAAAGAGGTAAGTAACACTTGAAAAATCATCAGAATTTTACTTATTTCAATGTTTTATTCCTTAGTATTGACTCTTAACTGTGGTTACAGAAAAGTCTTCTAAAGAAATTACTAGCAAAAAACCCAAAGGAACGACCTGACACATCTGAAATACTGAAGACCTTGGCTCAGTGGAAGAATTTTGAAGAGAAGAGGAAAAACAACACATATTAGGCTTCTTTGGGAAAAGATCAGATTTCTAATATGTAATTTTCCTTTAATGCCAAACTCGGCTAGGGGATATTGATGGGCACTGATCTTTTATTTTCATTTTCTTTCTATTATTGTATTTTAACTTGGATTTTCTTTAACTTCAAATATATTTTTAGACTTTACTTTTCTTTTTTCTTTCTCCCCTCCACCTTATTTTTTGGTGCAGATAGTGGGGCGTAAGCTCAGGACCTCACACTTGCACTTGTTTTTTTCACTTCAAGCTGGTGCTCTACCACTTCAACCACACTTCCATTTACAGCTGGAGATAGGAGTCTCATTGACTTTTCTGTCCCAGTCTAGCTTCAAACCACCTCTTGAGCAGACAGAATTACAGGCTTGAGCCACCAGCTCCCCTGATTATTATTATTATTTTTGCTTTGTAGTGCAGGCTAGACTGGAACTCTCAATCCTCCTGTCTTAGCTTCCCAAGTACTGGGATCATAGAACATTACCTAGCTTCATTTTTGTATTTTGAAGATGGCTAATACCCTCAAAATATTCTTTACAACAATCAGTAGCTGTTTCTAGGCCCAAAAAAGGTATTTCCTTGCCTTAAATAGCTTACAAGCCTCTTTGACAAATACATACTTGCAAAAAGACAAGTGATAAACTTACTTGTGGAAGCAACTTCATATTATCTAGTAAAGATGAAGCAGTATATTCTTTCAAAGCCCCACACTCTATTGAAACACACATGCCTATAAGAATGTTCATGTAATCCCTGCTGATAGGTGTCAAAACTATTGGGAATAATCATAATACATGTGATCTTTTTCATTTAGTAGTATGTTTTCAAGTTTCATCCAAGATCAGTAATTGATTCATTTTTGTTATCAAACAATATTCTACTGTACGGATGTATTGTATCCATCTTATTGTGTGAATGAGTGTCTGTTTATCTATTACAAACAGTTTGATTGTTTCCATGTTTGGCCAATTGCTATCCCAAACATCTGTGAAAAGATGTATGTGGGTATGTTTTGTATGTATACCTAGAATTCCTGGGTTATGCGTGCAGTAATTGGCTTTTCACAGCTCTCCCTGTCCATTCGGTCCACCTTTCAGAACCCATATTCTGCTGGGTTTTTTTTTTTTGTCACTTCCCACGCAAAATCAACTTCCCTACTTCTCCCTCTGTGCGTTAACAGTGTGGTGCCTATCAATTTGCTCTGATGCTCAGTCATTCCTGCCTGCCTGTTTCCTTTGATACTATGAATTTCTAGAGCACACAGGAGGCTCTTCACTGTCATGTGTACTTCAAGGTAATGAGTGCACTGCCTGCAGGCACTCTACAAATGTGAATGCAAGTGTGAGTTTCAAATGTTTGATTCTGCAAAAGTTATCTGGTATTAAATAATCATTCAGCTGGGAGCTGGTGTTCAAGTCTGTATCACTAGCTACTCAGGAGACTTGAATCTGTATTAAAGTTTGAAGCTAGTCCAGTCAGGAAAGTCTGTGAGACTCTTAATTCCATTAACCAGAAAAAATTTCAAAATGAGCTGTGATTTTAGACCTTCCCCCATCCCCTCCTCAAAAAAAAAATCAGAGACAGTGGCCAGGCTCTTGAGTTCAAACCCTAGCACTGGCAAAATAATGTTCACTTTTACACTTCATCACTAAATGTTGGCGAATAATACTTGAAATAAATATGTACAAGGTGAACTGATTTGTACTTTAAAGTATCTTGAATGTTACAGGCTATCATTCTGGGTATATAATTAAGAAAAATGAGACATTAAATAAAATCTAGAGATTTGAAAATACCAATAGCACAATTTGAACAAAAGTAAATGATGTGAAATGTTAAAACTAAATTTTGTTTTGTGCCAGTCCTGGGGCTTAAACTCAGGGCTTGGGTGCTGTCCCTGAGTGATTTTTTTGCTCAAGACAAGTACTCTACCACTTGAGGGGCTCTCTGGTGGTTAATTGGAGGTAAGAGTCTCAGACTTTCCTGCCTAGGTTGACTTTGATCCTCAGATCTCAGCCTTCTGTGTAGCCAGGATTCTAGGCATGAGCCACCAGCACCCAATGAAACATTAAAGTTTCAAATTTCATATAAATGTTTTAAAGCAAATTGATTTTTTCCTCAATGTTTTCCTCCCTCGGTGTTCATTATTGGGTAGTTATGAAGTCCTAAAAGGCATATATGAACAAAAATTAAGCTTTTACTCATATTGAGAGCCTGTTTTTAACCTTAGATGGAAAAGAAGAGAAAGAACTCCCTCTCTAGACCTCTAAGTGTAGACCCCAACTCTGGTGCAGTCTTGGGTTCCATCAAGATTATCCTCTCATTCTCAGCATAATTGTTCGTGTCCATAGTCAGAGGTTCAAGGTGACAGGGTTTGATACATTTTTTACTTTTTTTTTTTGCTTGTCCTGGGAATTGAACTCAGGGCCTGGGTATTGTCTTTGAGCTTCTTTTGCTCAAGGCTAATGCTCTAACACTTGAGCCACAGTGCCACTTCCAGCTTTTTCTGAGTAGTTTATCAAAGACAAGTCTCACAGACTTTTCTGCCTTGGATAGCTTCATACTGTAATCCTCAGATCTCAGCCTCCTAAGTAGCTAGGATTACAGATGTGAGCCACCACGGCCTGGCTATTTTTTTTTTTTACTATTTTTAAATAAAATGTAAATATTAAATAACAGCATCCTACCATATTCTTATTTATGTTTGTGTATATGTGAGTAGACAGACAGATAGATAGATAGATAGATAGATAGATAGATAGATAGATAGAGATATACAATCACAAAAATATTCTGGATTAAGAATGAAGGCCCAGAAATAAACTACACATATTAATATGTACATATGTATATGTATATATCTATTGATATATGTACTTACCTTGTGCTACCTTTCACAATCAAGGATAATGATGCTCAAAAAACAGTGGCTAAATTACACTAGAATCTCTGGGGCAGAACTTGTTTTAATTTTGTGTTAGTACTGTGGCTTGAACTCAGCATATGCTCTCTTAGTTAGCTTATGTTCTCATGGCTGATGCTCTACCATTTGAGACAGACCTATAGCCTAACTTTTTGCTGGAGATGGATTCTCAGAGACTTTTTTGCCCAGATTGATTTTGAACCTTAATATACTCGATTTAAGCTAGGGTTACAGTACTTTTTGTTTTTATGCCAGTCCTGGGGCTCGAATTCAGGGCCTAGGCACTGTCCTTGAGCTTCTTTGCTCAAGGCTAGCTCTACCAGTTGAGACACAGCTTTACTTCCAGCATTTTGGAGAGTTAATTGGACACAATAGTCTCAGGGGCTCCTGCCCAGGCTGGCTTCAAACTGTGATCTTCAGATCTCAGCTTCCTGTGTAGTTAGGATTACGAGTGTGAGCCATTGGCATTCAACTGGATGCATTATTTATAAGAGCATGTTAAGTTAAATTTGAGAACAAGCAAATTAGGTCATACTAGATCAGAGATTAACACAAGATAAACCTATGCAAGTGTAGGTTTACTTTTGCTATTTTCTTGGGCATGCTGTTTCTAATAAAAGAAACTGATCTCTTGTTGATTGTGACTTAAAAATGAGCTGTAGGCCAATTTTGGTTTTGAAGAATATAGATCTAGAGCCAAATGTATTTTGCCAATATCACTTTCAAGCCCTCACTTGTCTATTTCTATTGCTGCCCATAAGTGTCCTGATAAAATTTCTAGATGTCGGGGCTGGGAAGGTGGCTCAGTGGTAGAGTGCTTACCTTGCATGCCTGAGGCCCTGGGTTCTATTCCTCAGCACCACATGAGCAAAAAGAAAAAAGCCGGAAGTGGTGCTGTGGCTCAAGTGGTAGAGCGCTAGCCTTGAGCTGAAGAGCTGAGGGACAGGGCCCAGGCCCAGAGATCAGGCCCCATGACTGGACCCCCCCCAAAAAAAATTTCTAGTTGTCATTATTGTAACCATAGTTACTAGAATAGTCACCACTTTGCTGAAGTGGCTGCTGAGTGATGGGCTGGGAAAGTGAGCTGTAAAATCACAGCACTGCAACCACAATTCTACCTAAAGCAGACTGGTACTTATGTGTAACCTATAGCACTACTTTTTTTTTTTGTTATTGTTATTGGCTGTGGGGCTTGAATTTGGGGCTTGGGTGCTATCCCCAAGCTCTTATGCAAAGGCCAGTGCTTTACCACATTAAGCCACAGTGCCACTTCTGGTTTTCTAGTGATTAACTGGAGATAAGAGTCTCACAATCTTTCCTGCCTGGGTTGGCTTTGAACTGCGATCCTCAGATCTCAGCCTCTTGAGCAGCTAGGATTACAGGTGTGAGTCACTAGTACCCAGCTAGCACTAAGTCTTTAGCATAGGTGCTTACCAGACTCATTCTAGGAACCTTAAAATGAATCCATACATTCTAAAACCACACATTACTTGAATCAATCAGTAGAGGAGACACCCATGCAAGTGGACTTTTAGAAAGGTTCAGGATATTTTTATGATTGACCTTGGGTGGAACTTGTGTTCATCATGTCCTTATTTGTACTCAGTTAATCTATAGGGAGGCAAATTATGAGAGAAAACTTGAAAAAAGAATTTAGGACCTACCTTGCAGTAGTTTTTAGAGCAGAGAGCACTCTATGGCTCTCTGAGAAAATGAAGTTAGAGGTTAGATGACCGCCTGCCATGAATAATGCTGAGGGGTTTCCAGATCTGGTGTACTTGTAACTCATGTAGTTTAAGGTGGTGAGAAGAAAGAGAAGCCAAAACTTAAAGGGAAGCTAAAACTTAACAGATTACTTGCAATGGATACAGATACAGACACACACACACACACACACACACACACACACACACACACACACACAGCCATAAGACACATCATTTTACTAGGAATAACATAATAAACTGTAACTGTCCAAGTCCATGACACCTGTGTTCTGAAATAATATTGTATTACTCTTCTTAAGCCACTGAACATTTAAAATTATAGTTACAAAAAGCACAAGCATAACAGGAAGGTCCTCTGTCCTTTCTGACATTAGCAACTTCTACTTTATTGGCAACAGTCTTAGTCGTGATCAGCAGAAGTTGGTCCTGGGCAATTTGTAGAAAGGTCTTCTTTATCTGTAATTATGAGATGGAAATTAAAAAATACAATTTTTATAGTAAACTTCCAGAAAGAAACTTCAGTATAGCAATTGTTTTTGATTATTTCCCATTTACTCTGCTAATCCAGGAAAAGATTCAAAAAACCAAAACCATATCCCAAAATCCTTCCTTCTCAAGCATTAAGTCCTTAAATACTAGTTAGCAAAGGTAGTTTGCTCACATGAATTAGCAGAGGAGGCACTTGGCTTCATAAGACATTTGGCAAGTTTGTTTCTTCTCCTTCTTTTGGTGGAATTGGGATTTTGAAAGTTGGGCCATGACTTGAGCCATACCTTGAGGCCTTCTTGCTTTAGGTTATTTTATAGATAGGCCTCATGTTTCTGCGTAAGCTGGTCTCAGCCTTTGTTTCTCCTACCTATAATTCTCATACAAATGGGATTAATAGACATGAAACACCACGCTCAGCTTGTTTGTTGAGATACGGTCTTGCTCATTTTTTGCCTGAGATGGCCTCAGCATGTGATCCTGATCTTTGCCTCCCAAGTAGCTAAATTATAGGCATGAGCCACTATGCCTGGCCACCAGTTGGCAAGTTTTAAACGGATTCTTTCCTCACAATGAGCAAAACAATGAAGTGGATTTGTAACATATTTGACTTCTATGGCTCAGGGATAATTCTCTTTATGTAAGAACTAGGTTTTGAAGACTTTTTGGTGGCACTGGACTTAAACTCAGGGTCGTCAGCTGGCTGGCACTTGGTAGGCAGGTGCTCATACCACCAATCCTTTTCACTTTCCTTATTTTTCAAATAGGGTCTTATATTTATTTCTGGGCTGGCCTCAGAAAGTGACTATCCTACTCCTAGGATAATCATAGCTTGAATAACAGGTGCATACCCAGGTTTTTATTGGTTCAGAAGGAGTCTTGTAAAATTTTGCCTGGGCTAAACTGTAATCATGATTTTCCTAATTGCAGTCTCCTCAATAGCTAGGATTGTTAAGTATGAGCAGCCATATCTGATTTGTAAAAAACCAGTTCTAAAATTTTAACATAAATACCTTTCAATCTACAGCAAGAAAGTAAAAGTAAAGCATAAAGCATTCACCATCCTCAAACCATTCTAATTAGGTTTTTGGGGTTTTTTTTGGCCACTCTTGGGGCTTGAACTTAAGGTCTGGCCACTGTCCCTGAGCATCTGTTACTTAAGGCTAGCACTTGAGCCACAGCATCACTTCTGGCTTTTTCTGTTTATGTGGCATTGAGGAATCAAACCCAGGGCTTCATGCTAGACAAGCACTCTACCACTAAGCCACTTTCCCAGTCTTAGATATGATTTTTTTTAAACAAAATTCTGAAAGATTCTCTATTGTCTATTCAGTTACTGAAAAGCTAAAAGGAATTCTAATAAGCTTTCAGTTATTTCAGTAGTAATTATTTCTTTAGGACATTGGGCCCACATCACTATTTGAATGAAACAGGAAGTTCTGACTGTGTTTGGGAAATGTGCCTTTCATTGAAAGTAAAAAAGCACTCATCTTTACTAGTCAAAAATATTACCAACCACCTTCCTACCTTCATAGGCTGTTCCACACCAAATGCAATACAGATGTTCTTCTCTTAAATAACTAGTCAATATTTGTAGTTTTTCCAGAACCTAGACATAGGATGTATACCCATGAGTACTTTACAAGGAACAGAACCTTATTATTATTTTGATCTTAGATCTAAGTCAGCCCAGGTTGTAAATCTTCTGCTGTATTTTCAAATAGTTTCCATAAGTATCAAAGGCAGAAGTAATATATTTGAATGTATCCTAGGTGACTAGTCACCCAGAAATTTGCACAACCTGACAAACACAATAAAGACTACTGGTTAACATTAAGAAGATAGATTTTGGCTAGCTCTGTGATAACCAGCATCCTTAAAGACCCTTTCTACTTTCAATGAATCTACCTGCTGCACCCCCCTTCCCCACCAGATGAGGTAAAGGTGAGCACTGTTTCCTTTCTGCCATGAACATACTCATTCGTCATATCACATATATAAGGGTTTCAAACTGACAGTGTACTCCTTTCTTGAATCATCTTCCTTCAGGTTTTCTGTTTGGATGATGGGCAAGGGAAACATGAACACATTTGAACCAACTCTTGAAGTTTTAGCAGGACACAAGGTATAAGTTAAAATAATTCACATTTGCACTGAATTTATCATCCAAACTGAATCTGAGGGACAAGCAGGAGCTTACTGGAAAATGTCATGCAATTTTGATTTGGGGTTCATAATGCAGTAAAGCAGCAGTTCTCAGCCAGGGTTATTTTTCCTCTGAAGCTAGTAAGCAATGGTGAGGCATTTTTGATGTCCCAGGGTCATCTGGAAGCAGCAGCCAGGAATTTAGCCTCAAATCTTACAACACATAGGATAGCTACCCACAATTACCCAGCTCAAAGCATTAATAGTGTCAACGCCAAGACCCCATGCTATGAAAGAAAGACAATGGTCAATACATACACTTAAATCTTCACTCCTATATTCATCTTCATCCTGTTCTTCTTCCTCTTCCTCTTCATCAGTCTCCTCTTCGGGTCTCAACCAGTACCATGCTTCCCTGGGAACCTCAATATTCTGAAAATGTACAATTATTCTCATAAGACATAAAATACATAATAAGACTATCACAAGTATGTTCATGTGAACATAAATTCAATCTTCTAATAAATATTGACTGCATACTATTTAAGAGTAAAGCACTGCACCATGATGGGAATGTAAAGTCCAATTAGAATTTTGTCTCCCAGTTGCTGCTGATAGTCTAGCAGAAAAGTTAAGCCATGTGTATAAAATAATGCACACAAGCATACGTGTCACACGTGTCAGAAATACATTTCAAAACATAGCAAGGTGAGAGATTGCTTTTAGCAACCTACTTATGGATGAGAAAATTTTACCAATGTTTTTGAGTCTTTAAACGAAGTCATTTATTTGGTCAAACCTGAACCACTAAGATAAAAGCAAAGAAAGAATTTTTCTTTTATGTTTTCAGACACTTTGTACTCCTATACTGTTTTGTAGAATGGGAACTTCTTTGTACAACTACTTAAAGATAATTAAAAAGAACCAAGAAAAAAATAAATCCTTCTTTGTAGTAAAAAAAAATTTTTTTCTTTTAGATCATTCAAATCTGAAACAGATTTTAATAGCTTTATATAATAGTCATAATATGGGCTGGAAATAGGTTATTCTAACTGAATATGATTGAGAACAGAATTTCCACAGAGTCTAGTACTAAGTAATTAAAATTTGTATTAGCAAAGAACAACTTATTTAACTCTTATTGGTTAGCTCAGGTTTCTGCAGTGAGCAAGCCATTATTATATCATTAGCACATCTCAGTAGTATACTTAGATGAAAGTTTTCAACACTAGATTAATCAGGCTTGAAGTCATTTTTTGTTTTATGCCAACTGGGGATTGAACTGAAGATTTCCAATTCTCACTTGGCTCACAGCTGGTACTCCACCACTTGAGCCACAACTCCAGTTCTGGCTTTTTGCTGGCTAACTGAAGATAAGATTCTCTTGGATTTGTTGGCCACAGTTGTCTGACTTAAAATCATCAGACCTCAGCTTCCTGAGTAGCTAGGGTTCTAGTGTGAGCTATCAGTGCTGGTTTGGAGTTCTCTTTTCTTAAAAGTAAAAATATTTGGCATATCATACTGGGCTATCAAAATGCTACAAAACTGAAAGCCAATGACAGCTTACCTTCTGGCTATCCAACTGTTGACAGGCGCGCTGGCTTCTTTTAAGATCTCCTTCTAGTTTCATCTCATCCTGCTTATTTTTAAGTCGCTTTCTAAAATAAAATATTATAAAGTCCATAACCTTTAACATTTTTATATACCAAAGTACCAGAAAACATACCATGATAAAGAACATTTGAAACCAGTGCCTGGGGCTCACACCTGTAATCCTAGCTACTCAGGAGGCTGAGATCTGAGGATCACAGTTCAAAGCCAGCCCGGGCAGGAAAGTTGGTGAGACTCTTATCTCCAATAAATCACTAGAAAACCGGAAGTGGTGCTGTGGCTCAAGCGGTAGAGCACTTGCCTTGAGCTGAAGGGCACAGGGACAGCGCCCAGGCCCAGAGTTCAAGTCCCATGACCGACCAAAAAAAAAATTATATTTTAAACTAAGACAGTTCAAATACAATTTTACCGAAACTGTTCTTCAGCTTTTTCTTCAGCTTGGTTTTTCATGTGAATCTTTCTTCTGTAGTGTTCTAATTTTTCCTCTGCTTTCCGTTTTAATAATGCCTCATGACCAATGCCACTTTTCCCTGATGGAAGACAAAAATTCTGATAAGGAACTTCCTGGGTTTTTTTTTTTTTTTTTACTTCAAACATGACATTTTTTTTTTACTTTTTGGCGTTGGTCCTGGGGCTTAAATTCATGGCCTTGTGCTCTTGGTTGGCTTTTTCTGTTCAAGGCTAGAGTTACATACCTGTTTTGACATGGAGAGGAATTGGTTCAACAATACCATCTCCTAAAAAAAAAAAGAGAGAGAGAGAACAAAATGCAGGTCAGTATAGATTAGACAATTCACATCCCTCCTTAGTTTCAATGACTTCCAAAATTGAAAAATTAACGCTCTCTATATATAATAAGCCACTTTCCTTGCCTTCAAATACCTACTCCTCAGTAAGGCTGACTCATGGCCTCTTAGACTAGCTTAAGAAATGATACTATTGCTATAACAGGTCCAAGGCAATGACATCCTTAAGAGAATGCAAAGCCTATCTAGGTGAAAATCAAAGCAATTACAATAAAGAAAAATAGACTAGGAGGCTACCATCAATTGGAGCTGTCCCTGCTCTCTTCAGTTCAAGGTGAACACTCGACCACTTTAGCCAGAGCCACTTCTGGTTTTCTAGTGGCTTATTGGAGATAAGAATCTCATGGACTTTCCTGGCTTTGAATCATGATCCTCAGATCTCAGCATCCTGAGTAACTAGGATTACAGGCATGAACCACCGGTGGCTACCATCAATTTATAGCCTTTGTATTCATGTAAGCAGTTTCACTTCCAAAAGAGAAAAGAATAGAACTGCTCCAGCTGGACAGTCACTCAGACAGCTGTTCCAGGTTCAGAGAAGAGGCCAGAGCCCTGTTATCATCCTCAATGCTGTTTCACTGTTCTGTGGCCATTGTACTTTTCAGTCCATAATTTGTCACCACCCTTTGAGGACTTCATTGTAAACCAGGTCCACTAGACACTAGTTGTAAATGTTTCAACACTGTGCTATTTTTCATGGCACATGAGGTAGTTAAAATGGATACAGTGGGGCTGGGAAGGTGGCTCAGTGGTACAGAGCTTGCCTTGTAAGCATGAGGCCCTGGGTTCGATTCCTCAGTACCACATAAGCAGAAAAAGCTGGAAATAGTGCTGTGGCTCAAATGGGAGAGTGCTAGCCATGAGCAAAAGAAGCTCAGAGACAGTTCCCAGGCCCTGAATTGAAGCCCCAAGACTGGCAAAAAAAAAAAAAAATGGACATGGGAAGATAAGTTCTCTATATGATTTATTATCACAGAAGAGACGAAGACGTTTAAGGGTTTTTATTTTAGCTGGATAAGGGTGAAAGTCATCTCTGCTCCTCAACAATATATCAAAATGTGAGAGTTACAAAGTGCTTATTTTTGAACGTATCTCACCACTTTTGCCAAGAGCCTGACCACTTTTATATCCCATCTTCTGGAGCAAGGCAAACCCTTTGTTTTCACAGCCTAGTGCACTCTTCAGCCCAAGGGTACGTCTTTCTTGTTCTTCTTCTTTTAAACTCTTCTGTCTATTTTTCAAATTAGCTTCCTGTTGCTTTTCTTCTTTTCGTCGAGCTTCTCGAATTTGCCTCAGCATAGGCAATCCTGGTCTGATGTCTTCCCTGAAAAATAAGAGGAAATGGTTATTTTAGATGAGTATGTGAAGTGTTTCATAACTTCAGCATTTACACAGTTGATACTACTTAATATTTCAGTTTTCCAGCACTGCCTCCATGATCATCTTTGTTGTCACTGCTATTAGGTAAAAGCAGAGATTCTCAGGAATGGCTGTTTTCATAGAAATGATGAAGACTAAAGATCATATACAAATGAAAGAAATAGTAAGTTTAGGGCTGGGAAGGTGGCATGCCTTGCATGCGTGAAGCCCTGGGTTCGATTCTTTACCACCACATAAGCATAAAAAGTCAGAAGTGGCGCTGTGGCTCAAATGGTAGCATGCTAGCCTTGAGCTGAAGAGCTGAGGGACAGTGCCCAGACCCTCAGGCCCCACAACCGACCTCCCCGCCTCTAAAAAAAAAAAAAAGAAAGAAAAGAAAAGAAATAATAAGCTCAGATTGATTTTCCTAGGAAATCAGCAATAATAAGGAGAAAAACTGAATAGAAGCCAGAAGAGATAGGAAGACGAAATAAAGGAAAAGTGTATTAACCAAGAACCAGCGGCTTATGTCTGTAATCTGAGCTACTCAGGAGGCTGAGAGCTAGAGGATAATGGGTCAAAGCTAGTCAGGGCAAAAATAAAGAAATAAATATCCTTTGAGTTTCCATCCCTAACCAGTAAAATGACTTTGGAAGCATGGCTCAAGTAGTATAGCGCCAGCTGTAAGCAAGAAAGCCAAGTGTAAAGTTCAAGGCCTTGAGTTTAAGCCTTGGTAAAGGCATACATGCACACACACACACAAAAGTATATTTCCTTAGAAGAGGTTACACTGGATTAAGAAAAGTAAATGAAGATGGATGCTAGGAGGTCGTACCTGCAATGCTAGCTACTTAGGAGGCTGAGGTTTGAGGATCACAGTTTGAAGCCAGCCTAGGCAGGAAAGTCTTACCTCTGATTAACCACCAGAAAGCTGTAAGTGGAGCTGTGGCTCAAGTGGTAGAATGCTAGCCTTATAAAAATGTTCAGGGACAATGCCTAGGTCCTGAGTTCCAGCCTACGACTGGCATAATAATAATAATAATGAAAGTAAATTATAGCACCAACAGGGAGAAAATGATTCCTAGTGTCTTTGAAGGACACATAGGAAGTGTCACCATAAAGCAGTTAAGACTCTCTGATGTCACACTTGAAAACCAATGTCCCTGTTTCACAGTCTACACATGTATTATACATATCATTACATTAAGAGTACAATTTACTTACTGGACATTAATGAAGGAATCAGACATATAGTCCTCTTCTTCTGCCATGTTCAACTTCAAATGGCAATTCAATCTATAAGTCAAATGGGATAAAGTAATAGCATTTTTTTGTTTTATTTTTCTCAGTATCTCTCATCAGGACCTTTCTCTAGAGCTCTACTACATATTCAAGTGTTCCTGAGTGTCTTTATTTGTGAAGCTCTTAAACTCAATAGTCTAAACTTCCCACATTCCCCATATTTCTCCACTAACATCATCACTCTACCTCCTCTAGATCTTTTATAAACCTGTCTCATTACCCCCACCCCACTTAGTTATGACCAGTACTTCAGTTCAGACACCTTCTTCTCATTTGAAGTATTACAAAAGCTTTCTGATGGCCGTTGCCTTTGCATCTCTTCTTCCCAAACCACCTCTAATAGTCTTCTAATTTCTGCTCCTTTAGATTCAAATCAGGTCAGGTTACTTCTGTCTGTTTCAGTGAAGGTCCAGTCACATTAGCAAAGCAGAAGATAACCTCACCCATCACAATCTAACCCCTACTTGTCCATTAGAGTTTCTTACTGCAGTTCTATGGGCTACTCATTACTCTTGAGACATACTTCAGCTATATTCTTCTTCCAAGGCCAAGGATATCATCCATCTCCTCCAAAATCTGTGTTGACCACTCCAGGCCTATCCACAGCCCTTTATGTGCTGTACATTTAAGTTTGCCTGGAACTTGATAAATTAATACGTTGCTTACATGGAAATATTCTGAGGAACATTCCCATCCATCGTTAAAAATCATGTAATTATTAGCCCTAAGAGGGTTTAAATAATCATCTAGAAAAGTGCTTCTTAAACTTCTTTGTGTATATGAACTAACTAGGATCTTCTCATTGTGCGTGGAGCATGAAGCTTTGTATTACTTCCAGGTTCTCAGGCAATGTCAGTGCTGCTGTCAACTTGGTACAGTACTACTTGGTACAGATAGGCTGTTTTGGTCTTTCCCATCCTATTTTCTTCTGAGAACTCATTCCTCTGCCACCCATGTGGTTCTAGTGGAGGATGGTACTATGAATACCCTTGGGTGAATTCCCTTAGGTACAATGGTGGCCAATTATAACATCCTATGTCCCAGCAATGGGGATGGTAAGAGAACACCTCAGTAAGAGCAAACACTATCTCTTTTGCTACATATGAATACATGGGTTATGGAGAATGAAACTGTTTTCATTGGGCATTCTAACTGGAGTATGTAAAGTTGGGACTGTCATATGAAGAGAACCTGTCTGCAGTATGGAGTCAGATAAACAACATGAACAAAGACAGGCCTTACAGCAAAGAGGCTTAATTCCCAAGGCCCTTGTTTTTAGGATGCTGTGACTAGTATCCCTCCCCACTAAATGGCCTAGTAAATTTCTAGATTACTTAAGCTTGCTTGAAAAGAGGCTTCATCAACTGCAACCAAGAGTCTGGACAATTATCCTGGATGAAAAAAGTATTACTATATGGGTTTTTCACTATATATCTTCCCAAGTAGGCTTGAGAACACAAACACAAGTTCTTTAGATCATCCCTACCTACCACTATGGTAGGTTCTAAGTAATGCTTTTGTGATAATGTGTTCAAGAAAGGTCTTTAATTATTTATCCTATTAGTTTGTAATCATAGGCCACTTTATTCCTCTGTCAATATTTTTTTAATTTATTTATTTATTTTTTATTTGTGAACATACTGTACAGAGAGGTTACAATTACATGGGCAGGATAATGCGTACATTTCTTACCAAGCATTGCAGCCTCCTCCTTTGGTTTACCCTTCACATCCCTTCCCAGCCTCCCCCCTCCCCCCCCTGTCAATATTTTTAAAAAAATTATAAATATCCCAGAAGTATAGAGAACCACAAAAAATGTATTATTGAGTTCCAAGACGAGCTACTCCTAATGATTCTTGCCTGTTCGGATGTTTTTGGTCAAAAGCATAAAGTGGATTTGATAATTAATTAGAAGGAAGTGAGCTGTCATATAATGAAAACACTCAACAAGTTCTATGCAGAAGTCCACAAGGGAGGAACTAAGACCTTTTGTCAACAGCCAACACAAATGAGTGTGCCACCTTGGAAATGGATTATCTAGTCCCAGTGAAGCCTTCAGATGGCTCAGACTGGCTGGCATCTTCATGACCATTTTGAGAACATCCACGTAAAGCTAAGTTGCTCACAAACTCCTTTTTATTCCTTTACCTCATACTGAGGTTGAATTCAGGACTTCATACTTATATTTGCTAGGTATCCAGTCCTTCTGAGCTTATTTACTTTTCAGATGGGGTCTTGTGTTTGTTCTCTAGGGCCAGAGTTGGATGGTGATCCTTCTACCCATGCCTCCAGAGTAGCTGAGATTACACATGACCAGTGTACCCAGCTTGTTTTTCCAGAGATAAGATCTCTAATTTTTGTCTTAGCTAGCCTCGGGTTCCTATCTCTGTTTCTCCGGTAGCTGGGATTATAGGCCTAAGCCACTATGCCCAGCTTGCTACTAAATTCTTGACACACAGAAATGGAGTCAATAAAGGACTACAAAATTTTAAGCTGCTAAACTGTGATACTGTTATAGCAAAAGCCATCACTACATCAGGATATAGAACTTTATCATCCATGTGGGAGCTGTCTTTAACCCCAACCCAAATGTATCCTTACTTTGGTTTAAGGAAGAGTCACTATTGAATCATTTATACCAATTATTTTCTTCCTCTAGAATTTCCTTTTCCGTTTTAAACATCTGCATTCCTAAACATTGCAATTCAGTTTTGGTTTTAAAAGTACAGGTTAGGGGCTGGGAAGGTAGCTCAGTGGTAGAGCGCTTGCCTTGCAAGCCTGAGGCCCTGGGTTTGATTCCTCAGCACCACATAAGCAAAAAGAAAAAAGCCGGAAGTGGCGCTGTGGCTCAAGTGGTAGAGTGCTAGCCTTGAGCTGAAGAGCTGAGGGACAGCGCCCAGGCCCAGAGTTCAGGCCCCACGACCGGACCCAAAAATAAATAAATAAATAAATAAAATAAAAGTACAGGTTAAGGGCTGGGAAGGTGACTCAGTGGTAGAGTGCTTGCCTTGCATGCATGAGGCCCTGGGTTCAATTCCTCAATATCACATAAGCAGAAAAAGCCAGAAGTGGTACTGTGGCTTAAGTGGTAGAGCACTAGCCTTGAGCTGAAGAGCTCAGGGACAGTGCCCAGGCCCAGAGTTCAGGCCCCACAACTGATACATACATACATACATATATATGTTAAAGATATGTACAGCAGTTACAGTCATTCATCTTTGCCTACACTTCACATTCTTCACTTACAATAGTATTTTTACATGTAACGCTTAGTACTCACCCACGTTACGAGTATCTCAATTAGGTAAGAACAGTCTCATTTTCCAGTTGGAGAAATTTAAGATTCCATATGGCTAACGGACTTGCTTGCAGCCACAAATAATGTGGGTCTCAGTGGTCTTACTGCTGAAAACAATTAGATGATTAATTTTGCTTCACTGCGGTTTGCACTTACCATCACACCTGCTAGGCCAATGTTTTGTCACGGAACTACACCCCCAGACCAAAATTAAGTATTTTAAAGGGTCTCATTTAGGCCCGAAGGGGGTTATCTGGCTCCCTTACACAGGATCGCAGGTAAGAATACACACTTAATCTACAGGCAGGGCGTGGCTCTGGAGGCTGGCCCCTGTACCCGCTGGGTGTGCAGGTGTGCACACCGCGCTGACGGGTTCGCTCAAAGCCCCTTTCCGAGCGTCACCTGCGAGCATTCCGCACCCGCACGAGCTGGGACTCAGAGGCACAAGGCCGGGGTTCGAGGTTGGCTCCGGGGCAATGGTGGTACGTTAAAGAACCGCCTCAGTCGTCTCCCCAGCTTTACTTCACGGAGTGCCCGCGCTTCTCGGGGGCGCAGGTCCCGCGCCGGCACTGCGTTCCCGGGACACGGGCGGAGGCCGCCGCCGTCCTGCGCGCCCACAGACCGACAGAAGCGCAGCGACTCATCCGCACACACGCGCCCGTCCTCGGGGGCCATGGGCCCCTCCTGGTCACCAGGGTCCCACAGACGCCACCCTTGGGATGGGGACGGCGCTGGTGGTGTGAGGGGTATTGGCAGCCAAGGCGCAGCCCCTCCGCTGACTTGCCCCGGCGTCGGCAGAACCTACCTGGCAGCCAGGCAAGCTCCCGCTCGGCTCCGGAGAGCGCTCTGCGCATGCGCTCAGCAGGAAGCACGGGGGGGGGGGGGGGAGACTTCGGCTCATCTATTTCCCAGGACCCACTCAAAGGGAAACAAACTTACCGCTGGCCAGTGCGATTGCGCAGGGCAAGCGTTCCGCTCATGCGCTCTGCCCTCCTTTCCTGCCAGCGGGCGTTCGGGAGGCGGGGCATCCGGGTCCCTAGGCAGCTACCGTCGGCCCCCACCCCTACTCCAGCTCAGCTGATCGGCTGCTGCCGGACCCGGAGGTGAGGCGGTTCCCAGCGCCACCGAGAGCGTGCACGTTGACACCGACACGGACCTCCCCTGGGGTGGGGAAGAAATTCGAGTTCATAATGAACATTTTCCCCCTTGACTTCAAGGCGGGGACGTGGGGCTGACAGAGCGCGGAACTGTGCGTCGTGTGGTTGACGTGGGGTTGAGCAGGTTGCGGAGGCCTGCCGCAGCACCTCGCGTTTCCCGCTCAGACCCCGCCTTGCTGGGGTGCCGGGGGACCCCCGCGCCCGAGGCCTCGCACCGCCCCAGCGTTTGCGGGGCCCGGGGACGTCGCCGCCGGGGCCGCCCCAGCCCCGCAGGAAGCTGCGGAGCCTGCGGTGTGGCGTCTGGGGGTGAGGGGGGTGGGGACGGTGCGGTGCTGGAGCTGGGAGTCCAGGGTAAAAGGATGGCGGGGTGTGGGGTCGTGAGATGCTCGAGTCGGAGCTTTAGTATTCTCAGTGGGTTAAGGATCTGTGGGTTTACTGTCGTTGTGTTGGTTTGTTTTGTGTGTGTGATTTTGGGGAGCTTTTTGGGGAGGTCATTTCTTCGGGAATAATGCCTTTTTAAAATGTTTGCCCCATGTTAATTTTCCTTTCACTTCATGGGCTATTCTTCTTTAGCCACACTTGTTTGGGTTTGTACCTTTGTTTCTTTCAAAATTGGTTCTCAGGTTGTGACTCAAAAGAAGTTGTTCCTCACGCCCCCCCCCCAAGAAAATGAAATGAGAGGGAAAGTAAAATTTTTTCCTTTCTTTGTGGGCGCTGTCGTTGAACTTGACTTTGAAAAATCGGGCGGAAAAAAAATCCTTACACGTGTTTGTTTTTTTTTTAATCTGTTCATTTAAGGTGTGAATTAAACACTTCAGCAATGGAGCTAGCTCACAGTCTGTTGCTAAATGAAGAAGCTTTGGCGCAGATCACCGAAGCAAAAAGACCAGTTTTTATCTTCGAATGGTTGCGATTTCTTGATAAAGTCTTAGTTGCTGCCAACAAGGTATGGTATTGTTTCTTTCCTCCAATTGGATTGACAGAGATTAAAGAAAAAGTGATGTTTTGGAAAGGTATGAGTCACTTAGAGAATTTGATAATATTTTACAAACAGGAATTTCAAGTCAATTTTTTTTCCTGTTGTGGGAAAACGCAAACCTTGTTTAAATCCTGCTCATTGCCCACTTCGTGTCACTAGCTAGACAGTTCAGTAAGACTGGAGAAAGAAAAGCATCATTCTTTGACTGGTGTCATTTGAAAGTTATCACCAGCAACTGCAAGTGGTCACCAGGCTTTGTATGGAATCAGTGTGTTCACTTTTCCCCCTGAGGAGTTAGAGAATTTTCCTCCCTTTCTCCCTACCTCCCTTCCCCCCTTCTTTTCTCCTTCCCTCCCACCCTGTCTTCCTATGTAGTCTGTTTTTTGCACATTTTATTTTCTTTCTTTAAAATTAGGTATTTTCTTCAAATAAGTAGTAATATTCACTCAAATTTAAGAGTGAAACCTGAAAAGTCTTCTAGACAGTGTTCACCTGCTTTTTTAAAATTCAACTACACTGTACACTACTCTTGTTCCTGACCCTTATTATCTTAATGCTTGTCTATGTTGATTGCTGACCAGAGAAACTAGTGTTTGAAGGACCTGTAGTTGGTTGTCTGCTGGGGCAGTTGAGGGAGAAGCCTGAGGACTTCAGCATTCAGTATGTAAACACTCACTGGCGTCCCCTGTTTTGGGTCCAGAGCTGTATTTGGGCTCCCCTAGTCCAGAGATACAGTTTACTACTCTTTTTTCAGAGACTATGCCTCTGATTGTCTTTCAGAATGCAGCAGTGATACATCTTACAACTTCTTAAAAAGATTTCAAGCATTCCCTTCATTTCTAAGTACAGTTTTACTTCCCCTTCCAGAGGTACCCAGGGCTTCACATGTGTGTATAAGGTGGTAAAGTGTTATAGAATACCTCAAGTTAGGTCTCTCCTCTGCTTTCCCTACTGGGAACTCTTGGCTTACAAATTTTATTTGGGTTTCTCTCCTATTTTCTTTATTCTTATGTATGTGTGCTTTTTGTTCTTACTGTTGGCCTCTGACTTTAATGGAGGTTGTAGAGAGGCAGTTGAATTTGTATTCATGTGAAATCTTTTAGCTAGAAATTTGTATTTTCTTTCAAGCCTTCTGCTCCTGGGCATTTCCTACCTTCCTTCCACTGAAATTGCTTTTGTCCTGCCACCACTGATCTCAGATTGTTTAAAATAATGGTCAGCATTCTGTCTTATTTTATCTATGCCTTTCTTTTGAAATGCTGATTGTCAGCATTTTAAACACAATTCATTTTCAGTCTTGTGAAATCAAGAAACACATAAGTTTATAACATGTGTCTAAACTATGAGGCATACTAATAAGAATATTGTGTACCTTCTAAATAAAAGTATATCAGCATCTTCACACACTTTTCCAATGTGGTTCCCATTAGTGGTTTCTTAAGACAGCATTGACTTTTAGTTCCCTCCTATTCCATCCATTAGGTACTGTTACTGTCTTTACTGGCTCTTTTTTAACCCTAGACTTTCTTTTTGCTTTCTATCCCCACATACTCTTCAGTAATACCATTTAATCTTAATTTTACAATTTCACTAACAAGGACTACAGATAGCCAATTTCTTTCCTTTTTTTTCTTTTTCATTCCTAGGCCTTGAAGTTCTCAGGCCTAGGCCTTTTTTTTTTCCCTTAAGGCTAATGCTCTACTACTGAGCCACAGCTCTGCTTTCAATTTTTTTTGTGGTTAGTTGGAGTTGTGAATCTCAAGGACTTTCTTTTGTGGACTGGCTTTAAACCTCGTCCTCAGATCTCAGTCCCCTGAGTAGCTAGGATTACAGATGCCCAGCAAGATTTCTTTTTTTTTTGTCGGTCATGGGGCTTGAACACTGGGCCTGGGCTTGCTTGGTCCCTCAGCTCTTCAGCTCAAGGCTAGCACTCTACCACTTGCGCCACAGCACCACTTACTGTTTTCTGGTGGTTTATTGGAGATAAGAATCTCACAGGCTTTCCTGCCCTTGCTGGCTTTGAACCTCGATCCTCAGATCTCAGCCTCCTGAGTAGCTAGGATTACAGGCGTGAGCCACCAGCTGATGGCCCAGCCAGATTTCTTACTCAACTACTTTATTATCATAATGGAATATTTGAGTTAACTTATCTAAATATAATTCTTCATTTCCTCACGGAAACGTGCCCTTTTCTTAGTGTTTTGTATCTCAGGAAATAAACATGATTAACTTATCGGATTATATATTAGAATTCAGAGCCATTTCCTTCTGTCTTTTTTCACTTCACATCATAATCACTAGGAAATACTGTGGTATTATCCACAAATATATCCAGATTTCTCATCATTTACATCTGTGTTTCTCATCTGGATTACCTAATTGTTCACTTTGTTCCACCCACAAACTATATAGCACACTCTTGGCAACCCAAGTAAGGCTGTTGAAACATTTTATCATAGCCCTTCTCCTCTTATACAACTCTGACTCAGGATAAAATACAACATTCTTTGGTGTATAACACTGCACTCTGGTCCCTTCTGACCATCTGGTGCAACTTTCTCTCACTTGACCCCAGCTAAACTAGTCTTCTTGTCCTCAGATAAGTTAAGCATGTTCTCACCTCAAAAACTTTTGTACTTCTTGTTCCTGCTTTCAGGAATGTTTTTCTTTTAGATAAAAGCTCTTTCCTTCATTATTCAGAGACGTCTTTTCTAAGCCATCTATATAATAAACAACAAGGACTTAAACTAATCATTTATTTGGTAAACTCTTCCTTCCCCTTCAGAATGTAAATATTCTGAGGACTAGGAATTTTTCTGTTTTGACAACTGTTACATCCCAGTGCCTAGAATAGCGCATGGCAAGCAGTGAGAGCACAATATTTTTTAATTAGCATAAATTATTTGTACAAAGGTGTTTCAATGTGACAGTTAGATACATGCTGTAAATGTTTCTTGAATGAGTGAATTTTAGATATTCATTATGGGTATTATATTTCTTTGCCTAGATCTCTTCAGAGATTCTTTTGGTTTCATTTACTGACCTGTAATTTTATGAACTACTGACTCTTTGTTTATAGGAGAAACCTTGCAGAGGTCCGCTATATCAGTTGCCCATACACCAATATTTTGCATCTTTTGTTGTTTTATATTCTAGTAGTCTGGAAACTTTGGATCAGAGTAATTACTTTTATCAGAGGCTAACTTTTTGCCATTGGAGAGGAAGGAGAACTTTAGTAAAAAGTAGATCATTTCTCATTAAACTTTTGTATTTTTAATTTTTTTCATTTATAGTTTATGCTTAATATAATACAGATTTTTAATTATTAGAGTTCTTTAAATTTTAAGTGTTTTGTGTTTACCAGGAGGATAACAAAAGTTGTTTTTAAATTGTGGTATTCTTTTATTTAACAGACTGATGTAAAGGAAAAACAGAAAAAACTTGTTGAGCAATTAACTGGACTAATAAGTAGTTCACCTGGACCACCTACACGAAAATTATTAGCCAAAAATCTTGCAGCCCTTTATAGCATTGGAGATTCTTTTACAGTTTTTCAAACACTAGATAAATGTAATGACATTATCAAAAATAAAGATGACACTGCAGCCTACTTACCAACAAAACTGTAAGTACTTACTTTGACAGGCACCCTTGAAGTTTTTTTTTTTTTTTCCATAGTAAATGAGTTAGGGAGACTACTTGACCATAATGATTCCAGGCAGGTAAGAACCAGAGACTTACTGTTAAAAGTAACAGTTCTAAATAGATCTGAATAAGGCTTATTTAGGAAGAAAATCGATATGGTGTCATCAATGGTGTTACAGGTGTTCTGGTAAATTTGGATTCAGATATTCTTACTGAGATGGAAAGACTTTCTCAGTAATAAAACTGAGGTAAGGATAGGAAAAATGCATTTCATAAATACATTTTATTGAAATATGCCTTCCCATATACATGGTAGATGCTTTCACATTGGAATGGCAGATTGGAGTCACTGAGATGGAGACTATTTTCCCTATAAGTTTGCTGACTTTCAGATTAAGTTAACTCATAGGCTCAGAATTCATAGTTGTAGTTTGGGTTAAGAACAAATATAGTTTAGAAAAATTTTTAAGGATAGCATCTATTGGGAAGCCTATGACTGAGTCAAATAAGAAAATCATTTTAGTACAGTGAAGGATATAGTGGGAGGGAAAATAATGCCTAAATAAGTTTACTTATGATATGGGTATGTCAGGAAGGCTTCTCAAGTAAGAGCCATCAGAGAAAGATACATGAAATTTGTCAGGGGTTGTTAGATAGGGGCTAAGATAGAAGGAGAAAAGATGGCTGATGGTTTGGGAATCAACATACTTTGTGGAAACAAATAGTATTTGTGAACTAAACATCTCTGTAGAAGCTTTTTACCTCTGGCACAGACAGTATATGACTGAATGAATGAATGAATATGGCTGTCTTCTAGTAAAATTCTATGTACAAAAATGAGGCAGATTGGATGCTGGCGAGCTTGGCTACTAGCTGTAGTTTACCAATTTGTTTTGTAGTTAAAGGAAACAAAAATGGCCTGCTTATAGTACTTTTCAGAAAGAGAAATTAAAGAAGTTTAATTTAAGCATGCTGATTTTGTAGTAGAAATGGGAATGTCCCAGTGACAGTATATTGTGGGCAGTTGGAAGTCCTGGTCTGGAAGTCAGAGATCTGGATTGAGAATCTGGTTTGGATGAACAGAAAATGGAGATTTGAGAGTACACTGAACCTTTTAATATGAGTAAAACTTTTTTTGAAAGTATATTGTTTATAAAGAATATGGCCAAGGGTACAACTTTAGAACATCAACATTCAAGGAACCAAAACCAATGTAGTAGCTTTCAGAGGAAACAGAAATTATCCCACACCTGGATGCTGAATTTTACTGTTGTCAATTGCCTAGATATAATTAGATTTCGTGTTATTTGGGACATATATAGATCTCAAAGGTTTTAGAGGAGATTAGAGAGTGCTTTCTAGTTTAGAGTTTGAAGCTGTGTTAATAGTTTAATGGTTTAAATCTTTACCACTGAGGGGCTGGGAAGGTGGCTCAGTGGCAGAGCACTTGCCTTGCATGCATGAGGCCCTGGGTTCGATTCCTCAGCACCACATAAGCAAAATCTTTACCACTTAGTAAATAAACACATAATTTTTTTTTGTCAGTCATGGGCTTGTCTGTTCCTTAGCTCTTCAGCTCAAGGCAAGTGCTCTACTATTTGAGCCACAGCACCACTTCCCACATAATTTTTTTTATTTTTATATCTTTATTGTAAAGGTGATTAGGGGGTGTGTTATTGTTAGGTAAGTAAGATAATGAGTCCATTTCTTTTTAAGCACTTTTACCCCCTCCCTAATTTTCCCCTACTTATTCCTCCCTATTCCCTCCCCCACAATTTGTATATATAGTTCATTTCCAAGTATCATTGTTGCCTTAGATCATCCTTTGCCCTGCTGTTTCTGTGATTCCCTTTTCCTTCCTTGGATCCAATAAACTTATATACAAGGTAAAGAGTACAGAAAACTAAAAAAGAACCGCATACAGGACATAAGAACCTTTTGGAGTTTGTGTTGATACACTACTTTTTTTTTTGGTCGGTCGTGATGCTTGAACTCTGGGCTTGAGTGCTGTCCCTGTGCTCTTCAGCTCAAGGCGAGTGCTCTACCGCTTGATCCACAGTGCCACTTCCGGTTTTCTAGTGATTTATTGCAGATCAGAGTCTCACGGACTTTCCTGCCTGGCCTGGCTTTGAACCTCGATCCTCAGATCTCAGCCTCCTGAGTAGCTAGAATTACAGGTGTGAGCCACCAGTGCCCGGCTTTGATATACTTCTTTATACATAGTCTTATGCACTTAACAATTGGGCTATTGAGATCCTCTGTTAAGAATATCATAGACATATTCTAGTTATTACAAATTAGGGTCAGCATGCAACCTAGTTTTCTTTGTGCCTGGCTTACTTGATATAATTTTTTCCAGGTCTTTCCATTTCCTTACAAATGGGACAAAAAATGTCATTTTTTCTGATGGAAGCATAGAACTCCATTGTGTATATATACCACATCTTCTTGATCCATTCATCTACTGAGGGCCATCTGAGTTGGTTCCATATCTTAGCTATAATAAGTAATGCTGCAATGAACATGGTTGTGCTGGTAGCTTTAGTGTAGCCTTGTTGTTGTTCATTTGGGGAAATGCCTAGGAGTGGAATTGCTGTGTCATAGGGGAGCTTTACTTTAGTCTTTTGAGGAACCTCCATACTGCTTTCCAGAGTAGCTGAACAAGTTTGTAGTCCCACCAACAGTGTAGTAGTGTTCTCTTTTGGCCACATCCCTGCCAACATCTGTTGTTTTTAGATTTCTTAATAATGGCCATTCTAACTGGGGTAAGTGGAATTAATGTTGTTTAGATAGGTGTTTCTTTTATGGCCATAGATGTTGAGCATTTCTTCATGTGTATCTGTTGGCCATTTTTATTTCCTTTTTAGAGAAGTCTCTTTTTAAGTCTTTTTTTTTGTTGTTTTTTTGGGGGGAGGAGGGGGGTTCGGTTGTGGGGCCTGAACTCTGGGCCTGGGCACTGTCCATCAGCTCTTCAGCTCAAGGTTAGTGCTCTACCACTTGAGCCACAGTGCCACTTCCGGCTTTTTTCTTTTTACTTATGTGGTGCTGAAGAATCGAAGCCAGGGCCTCATGCATGCAAGGCAAGAGCTCTACCACTGAGCCACCTTCCCAGCCCTCTTTTTAAGTCTTTAGCCCACTTGTTAATGGGGTAATTGTTTCTTTGGGAACTTGTTTTTGGGGAATTTAATATTTTGAGCTCTAAGTATTATTTTAGATATGAGGCCTTTGTCTGTTGTATGGCTAGTGAAGATCTTCTCCCAATGTGTGGGTTTTCTATTGATCTTGCTAGCTATGTCCTTTGCCATGCAGAAGCTCTGCAATTTCATGCAGTCCCATTTATCCAAACTTTCTTTGATTCATTGTAAACACATAATTTTGCAGTGCTGGTTAAATAGAATTTATTATATATCAAACAGTTGTGTATTTTTTAGTGGATTCAGAGTTTCTACTTAAAAATTCTTCAATATATTCTGGTATGGGACATCTGTCATTTTTAACTTTATTGTCAGCTTGTAGAGTGTTAAGAAAACAACATGAGATTTGGAATAAAAAATACAGCAATTGATTTCTTGATTCTACTACTTATTATGTGTATGATTATGACCAAAAATTTTTTGACCTCTCTCAACTATAGAGTAACTTGCTCAAGTCGCATGGCTATTACGTGGCAGGTTGTAGGATTATAGGTGTAGATTTACAAAAGTTTAATGATATGTCCTTAACCATTGTCTTTCTGTTGCCTCTCTGCTAAGCTCCCAGGTGGTCACTTACTTGACATAAGTGATGGTGGAGTTGCTGTTGGAGATGTGTTACTGTATTTCTTATACAGAGCCAAGTGTTTCACTAAAAGTAATGGAGATGAAATTGTACAGTTTAGAAATAACATATTATTTAAATGTGCTAATTACTTAAATGGCAGGTCTTATGAGTAATACAAATATATAAGATATATTCTCTGTGTTTACATGTCCACTGGCAAGATAAGACAGAGCATACAAACAGCCAAGTCATAACACAGTGGACAAATAGTTTTATCAAATGAGTGCTTAACATTGAGTGTGAGATATAATGAGAGAAAAAGGGATCACTGTGGATTGATATACTTTGGAAGTGTTCATAGAAGGAAAATTTCTTCTTAACATATGGTTTTCATTTATTTTATACATAGATACTTATTTTGCATACTTATCAAGAATGTGATTTTAATCAACTATAGCATTTGTTGTAATTATAAAGAGTAAGTTAGGTGTTTCTTAAAGTTGAAAATTAATTAAAGATTATAGGCAAAAGTACCCTAGAGAAATCCAGACTGTCTTCTGAAAATGAGAAAAATGTAATGAAAAAATTGTATTAATCTGAATAATAACCAGTGAAAATGTTTTTACAGAGCTGCAGTGGCTTGTGTTGGAGCATTTTATGAAAAAATGGGGAGAATATTAGGTAGTGCATTTCCAGAAACAGTGAATAATCTTTTGAAATCTCTGAAAAATGCAGAGGTAAGTTGTATAACAAATACTATTTGAATATTTTGCTTGTGGCAAGAGCTAGATGTCTTAAAATTTTTGCTTTCTTTCTGTCATTGTGTAGTACTCATTGCTGAGCAAGAAAGCAGTTTCAGATTATCATATGCTCTTTGTTTTTATGTATGGTAACTTAAATTTTAGGAAAAGAGGAGAGAATAGTTTTCCTTGACAAATAATGAGTTTATTATTTTTCACTTAGCTTTATTTTTTGGTTAGTATTTTATTTTTTGTGCTGAACCTAGTATATCAATTTAGCTATAATAAATTACCACAGATTGAGTGATTTAAGATTTCAGAAATGTATTGTCTCGCAGTTATAGACTCTAGATGCCAGAATTCTAGTGTCAGCAGGACCATGCTTCCTTTGAAAGCTTAGGAGAAGAATACTTCCTTTCTTTCTTAGCTCCTAATTGTTGCTGTAAGTCCCTGGTCTTTCTTGGTGTGTAGACATATCTTCCAGTCTCTGCCTTATTTGTCACAAACAAGTTTGTCATGTTTTATAATCATATTAGTATTTGGATTAATTTCCTTCCTAATCAAGTATGACATCTTTATTTGATCTTATCTGCAAAGATTCTGTTCCCCAATAAGTTGCATTCACACTGTACAAGTGTTTAAAATGTTAACTTGCTTTTCTTTTGGTCAGTTGTTGGGCTTCAACTCTGGTCCTCAGCACTGTCCCTGAGCTCTGCAGCTCAAGAGTAGCGTGCTACCACTTGAGCCACAGTGCCACTTCTGGTTTTTGAATGATTAGTTGGAGATAAGAGTCTCACAGGGACTTTACTGTCCGGACTGGCTTTGAACCTAGATCCTCAGATCTCAGCCGCCTGAGTAGCTAGGATTACAGGCTTAAGCCACTGGTGCCCATTTTGTTAACTTACTTTTGAGAGGGACACACAGTACAACTACTGATAGCTAAGATCAAGTAAAAATAGTTCTGTTTTGTCCTGTTGGTTTAGTGTTACTCCCATAAATTCCCACCAATGTTAGGTTGACCAAAAAATAGACTAAGCTAGACTCTGAATCTGCTTCTTTTGTCCAGAAAAACGAAAATTTCTCAAGTGAATAGCTTTCCATTTGTCTGTTTTTTGTTCTTTGTTTTTAATTAAGTAAGAATTAGGGAAATATTGACAGGCATTAGGCATAAAATGATGAATAAGACATAGTCCCTGACCTAAGGTACCATTATATACCTTTAAAGTATACTTTAAAAATAAGAATAAGATTCTGTATTCTGATTAATACCAGAATCAAGAGGTTGACTGAGTTATGACAAGTTGTATTGGATGTTTTTTTCTTCCTCTTTAGGAAGGCTTATATTACATAACTAATGTTTTATATTCTGAAAGTTTGAACCCTTAAGATGTAATATTGAAGCCTTTAGATCTCTTCATCTTATTAATGTATTATTTTTCAGTATGTCATGTAACATTGAAACATGTTTACTTGTATCCTAATTTCTCCAATAATATTTAATGGAAATTAATTCTTCAGCTGCTTTTAGAATATTTTATCTTTCATTACTTACTGTTACATTTGGAGGTAAGATAATTCATCTGAGAGAAATGATGTGTCTGGTATGTTTCGTTTAATATGGAATTTATTTTACAATATAGTTTTAAAGATTTGCTTTATGTACATGTTTAGTCTCAAGGGCGAAGTGAAATCTTAATGAGTCTACAGAAAGTTCTAAATGGATTGGGTGGTGCAGCAGCTTCCTCTCATCGTGATATTTACAAGAATGCCCGGTCCCTCTTGACTGACAGATCTATGGCTGTACGGTGTGCAGTGGCCAAGGTCAGTGCCAGTTTATAATGTTGGCCCTTACCCTACTTGCTTTGTAATAGTCAATGACTGTTTTCTTTTAATTTTTAAATTATGAACATGTTTTTATTATGCATTAGTTTCACTGTCTAGAATTACATATAGGTGGAATTATATGATATATACTGCTTTGTACATATATGGTTTTCTGGTTTCTTTCACAGCATCATTATTTTGAGCTTCACTTGTATTGTTGCATGTATCAGTAGTTCATACTTTTTTTTGTTAAGTACTATTTCCTTGTATAGATATACCATATTCACTTGGTCCATTACCTATTATGAGTGAGTAACCTCTAGTTTTGACTACTTTACACCTCCCCTCTCCTCCCTGCCCCCCCCCACACAGATGTCCTCAAAAATCTGTGCATGGACATACTCTTTCATTTCATTTGAGTAAATACTTAGAATGGAGTGGTTGAATCATATGGTATGATTTTTAAAGACACTACTTATTTTCAGAAGTACCTGTGCCATTTTATATTTCCACCATTTTACATTCCATCATTTCTTCTGCATTTTCACTGCCCATATATTACTGAGAATCTTTCATTTTTAGCTATTGTAATAGATATAAGTATCTCATTGTAGCTTAATTTGCATATCCCTGATGACTGATGATAGAATATTTTCAGGTGTTTGCCATTTATATCTTCTTTGAAGGGCTATTCAGATTTTTTTATCCATTGCTTTGAGTTTTTGTTGAGTTTTAATAGTGCTTTATAGGTTTTTTAAATATGTTCTTTAGTAGATAAATGATTTGTAATATTTTCTTTCAGTTTGTGACCTGTTCTTTTTTTCAATCCATCAGCTATATTTTTCTACTGCTCTTTTTTTTTTTTGGTGGTAAAGGGGATTGAGTATGTTGTCTGGAGCTTGTTAGTCAAGTGCTCTTTCATTCAAGCTATATTCTAGCTCTTTTGTTTATGTTTGTTTTTAAGATAGGGTGTTTTGCTAACTTTGTCCTAGCTGGCTTGAAACAGATCCTCGCAATGATATATTTCAGAAGTATAGTACAGTGTATAAACCAGGATATTGACACAATCTATTAATCTTGTTTAAATTTACCTAAATTTACTTGAATTCTCTTAAATTTCTTTTTTAGCATTTATGGAGATGATTGTAAGATTTTTCTTTTTAGGCTTTTGATACTATGTTGAAGATTTTAAGCAACTTTGCATTCCTAGGATAAACTGCACTTAGTCATGATGTATTGATTGTTTTTGTATATTGTTAGAGTTGCTTAAAGTTGAACATTTTTGTCCATGAGGAATTTTGGTGTACAGTTTTCGATTTTCCAGTATCTTGAGAACTCTTGTTTAATAGATTTTGCCCAGTTGTTTTATTTCAGGAGAGAGCGTGAATCTGGTTCTGTTACTCCATTTCTGGAAGCAGAAGTTCTAGGGTTCATTTTTGTTTTTATTTCCAGTGCCTCCTGGAACTACAAAATGAAGCTGTATTTATGTGGACTGCTGAACTGGAAAACATAGCCACTCTCTGCTTTAAGGCTTTGGAAAACTCAAATTATGGGGTACGAGTGGCAGTATCTAAACTGTTAGGAACAGTCATGGCTACAGCCTTGATGCCAAAACAGGCAACAGGTATTGTTTGTCAACTTCTGATATATTCTCTAACAGATACAGAAAGGATTATAGAATATTTTCTTCTAAATTAGTTATTTCTTGTAGGCCAGTCACCCCAAAGGATTTAAATTGCTAGATTTCTTTAGCATTAAATGAAGGAACTCAAATGGCATTTTCTTGATATTATTAAGAATTTTTTGTGACAGTAATATACAAAACAATATTTAGAAATTTGGTGGGACTTGAACAAGTAAGATTTATGAAATGGTTTTGTATAATGTTTAAGGGTATTAAATTCTAACACTTTATGTTCTAATTTTTTACTTTCAGTTTCTGGAAAATTCCTAGTTTTCCTGCAATATTAATTTTCTGTTTTTCTCAGACGATTATTTGAATCAGGCAGTACTAATTTTTGTGTGTGTGAGACTAGGACTCAAACTCAGTACCTGATGCTTTTTCATGGGCTGGTGCTCTCCCAACTGAGCCATACCCTGAACCCACCACTGATATTTTTCAAGTGACTTCTCTGTCTCACACTTCCCTGGACATGTTTCAGGGATGGTTAGAGTAAGATGTGGAACATACTAATAACACATGCCCACCGCAAATGCTGAGGGACTCCAGCTCTGCTGTTGTTATTAACCCTACCCCACCAATGTATGGTGGAAAAATAAGATTAAGGTTTAGGTAGGTTTATGTTTCTTACATGTGAGACACTATGTAATTTCTCTGAGCTTTGGTTTCTTAATTTTTATTGATAATAATTTCACTAGATGATAAGAATGATGTACCAGGGCTGGGAAGGTGGCTCAGTGGTAGAGCGCTTGCCTTGCATGCATGAGGCCCTGGGTTCGATTCCTCAGCACCACATAAGCAGGAAAAAAAAGCCGGAAGTGGCGCTGTGGCTCAAGTGGTAGAGTGCTAGCCTTGAGCTGAAGAGCTGAGGGACAATGCCCAGGCCCAGAGTTCAGGCCCCACAACCAGACCCCCCCCCAAAAAAAAGAATGATGTACCATTTTAAGTGCTATATGTCAGACACTTAAACAAATTATGTAATTGCTTTATTTAACCTCCCAAAGTCTTATACATTTTAAGTACCACTGTTATTCCTATTTTATAGATAAGAAATAGACTCCACAAGATTTTGTAACGTGTTTTAAACATTGTTCTATTGGACATGGTAGAAAGCCAGCCTTGAGAGTAAAAGTTAATTGAGAGCCCAGAATTTGAGTTCAAGCCCCAGTTTTGGCACACACACAAAAAAAGTTTTCTAAGTGTGAAAACTGAAATTCTTAACCCAGGCAGTTAGATTCCAATTCCTATATGCTTGACCATGGGTTCTATATGCCCTCTTTATAATTTTTTGCAAGGGTTGTGTTTGTTCCTTTGTGTGAAAGAACTTACATACACTATGCAGCGGATACCAGGGATGAAAGTTGGTTGCATTCTCAGTTGCATTTTAATCCATTGGACTGAAATGAAAACAAAGAAATGTCATTTTGTATCCCTGTCAGTTGGGAAATAACAGGGTCTGCCTTATCTTTGTTGTGTTATACAGGTTGATCATCATTATTAGACTATTGGACATGGATTTATCAAATTGCTGTATTTTTTAATGTCTTGTTTTTCTAGCTTTTTTTTGGCTTCAGAATTGAGTTCAGGTTTACAAGTACATTGTGAATTTTAAGATGATCAGAAAACTTAATGGCCCTATGCCCCTTGTAGTATTCTTAAAAATAATTTGTTGAAATTTTAAGCTAAAGTATTAAAAATGTGATTAATGCAGATTTCACTTCAGAAACATTTGCTTATGAATTCACTTTTTTTTCTTAAAGTAATGCGTCAAAATGTGAAACGAGCAACATTTGATGAAGTCTTAGAACTCATGGCCACAGGATTTCTTCGTGGAGGGTCTGGTTTCTTAAAAAGTGGTGGAGAAATGTTAAAAGTTGGAGGGTCTGTTAATCGTGAAGTAAGAGTGGGAGTCACACAGGTTTGTACTATATTCATATATATTGTATTCAGACTGTTGCCAAGTAATAGTTCACACAGATTTTTAATATTCTTTCTTTCAAAAGTTTCTGGTACCAAATGAATGAATTAAAGTTCCAAATTGAGTGTTTATATGGAACAATAGGTTCTTCTAAATAAGTCTGTGTCCACTATATTCACTACATACCAAACAAAATTTCCCAGGTTTTACTTGGAGACAGATGAGATATAAGGTAAATCAGTATTCAGATGTTGGTAGCTGGAGGCATTAAACTCATATTCTTCAATGACCTTATAGCTAAAAATAATTTATCTCTGTTTTGATTACATTCAGTATCATTGATGAACCTCCAGTGTAATTATAAGATTAAATCTCGGGGCTGGGAAGGTGGCTCAGTGGTAGAGCACTGGCCTTGCATGCTCAAGGTCCTGGGTACGATTCCTCAGCACCACATAAGAAAAAAAAGCCGGAAGTGGCGCTGTGGCTCAAGTGGTAGAGTGCTAGCCTTGAGCTGAAGAGCTGAGGGACAGCGCCCAGGCCCAGAGTTCAGGCCCCACGACCGGACCCCCCCCCCCAAAAAAAAAGATTAAATCTCACATGAGATGTCACAAGCTGGTGCACATAGCTTGTGCCTATAATTCTACTTAACTCAGGAGTCTTAAATCAGAGAATCAGTGTTCTAAGTCAGCCTGAGCAGAGGAATCTGTAATACTTTTATCTCCAGTTAATGAGCAAAAAGCTTGAAATGAAAATATGGCTCAAGTGGTAGAGTGCCAACCACGGATGAAAAAAGCTGAATGAGAGCTCTAGACCCTGAGTTCACAGCTCAGTATTGGCACCAAAAAAAAAAAAGTTACACTTAATGATTTGATAATAATTAGTACCTAATAAAATGAAATAGATCTTCATGATCTTAGTTGCCACACCTACATTTTGTCCTTAAAGCAAAGTAAACTACATCTTGTCCCTGAAACAAGTATGCTATAAAGAAAGTCTTAAATGCACTACACCAATAAGTTGATGTTTATTTAGGATAAGAAGTTTTTATCTGGGGTTTGGAATGTGGCTTAGTGGTAGAGTGCTTGCCTAGCATGCAAGAAACTCTGGGTTCAGTTCCTCATCAGAAAAGGCTGGAAGTGGCGCTGTGGCTCAAGTGGTAGAGTGCTAGCCTTGAGCAAAAGAAGCTCAGGGACAATGCCCAGGCCCGGAGTTCAAGCCCCAGGACTAGCAAAAAAAAAAAAAAAAAAGTTTTATCTTCATCCTGTTGCCTTACTGATCGCTGGAGCAAATTTAGCTTTCCTTCTGCCCTCACTACTCTTTATGTTCTTCATAAAACTCTTTTCCTAAGATTTATTTTAATAAAGAATACCAGTAATTGCTGTACTAGAAGTTCTAAAAATTTTCACTTTCAATCTCTGTTTCTGTCTCTCATGCACACACTCTCGCTCTCATTCTCTGTCTTTGAACTATTCAGAATTGAACATAGGGCCTCAGGCAAGCATTCTGCCACTTGAGTCCATCTCTAGCACCTCCAGTACCTTTTGTAATTTTCTTTTTTAGATAAGTTATTACTAACTTTGCCTCCAACTCTCATCCATTCTGCCTCTGACTCCTGCATAGGATTACAGACATGAGCCACCATACCCGATTCAGTTTTCTCCGTTTTGATATGATTTTCCTCAGTATAATTTGTTTCGTATGCTGCCATTATTTATTATAATTGCTTCCTCATTTGTATAGAGGAATCTGAAGTTGTGTTTTAATGTGTTCATAGGCATATGTTGTTTTTGTAACAACACTGGGTGGTCAGTGGTTGGAGCGTAGCTTTGCTACGTTTTTGTCCCACGTACTTGATCTGGTTTCCCATCCTCGGGCAACACAAACACATGTGGAGGCTGTATACTCAAGACGATGTGTGTCCTTCATCTTGAGAGCCACTGTGGGCAGTTTGTTGGGCGAGAAAGCCCAGATAGCAGCTGCTAAGGAGATCTGCCAAGCTATTGGAAAACAAATGAAAGCAGTAGGTAAGACGACATCAGAGAATGTTTTAGTGGTCCCCCTCCTCTTAATTCTTTTTTTCTTTTATTAAGACAGTCTTGGTATGTAACCCAAGCCAAGCTTCAATACTCCTTCCTTAGTCTTTCAGGTGCTGGGATTACTATTATTGTTATTACTTTTTAATAGATCTTATTAGTTTATACCTTTCCTGACTGTTTTCGTTCTTACTGGGTACTCAGGTTAAAACAGTCTATAATAAAATGGAGTTTTAAAGTTCAAATACATTTTCTTATTTTATTTCTTTCTGGACTGTTTTCATAGTAATTCTTATTGGGTACTCTGTTACTAAAACAGTAATTATAGTGGAGTTTTACAAATGTGAATATGTATATGTAAAGTTAGATTTTCTGTTTTATTTCTAGTGTCTACTGATTTTACAATTCTCCTGAAATGCAGCAGCACATGGGTTTGATCTATTATGAACTTCCTGCTTAGAATCTCTTGTTTAATAAACACATATTTTCCCCTAAACTTGATAATAGTCCAATATAAAAATTTAGAGAGGGGCTGGGAAGTTGGCTCAGTGGTAGAGTGCTTGCCTTGCACGCATGAGGCCCTGGGTTTGAATCCTCAGCACCACATAAGCAGAAAAAAGCCAGAAGTAGTGCTGTGGCTCAAGTTGTAGGGCACTAGCCTTGAGCTGAAGAGCTGAGGGACAACGCCAGGCCCAGAGTTCAGCCCCCACAACTGGCAAACAAAAAAAAAAATTTAGAGAGGAGCAATTATACATGGTTATTAGCCCTGATAGGATATTGTTGTTAGCAACAGATTTTTTTGTGGGTTTTTTTTGGTTGTTGTTTTTGTCAGTTATGGGGCTTGAACTCTGGGCACTGAGCTCTTCAGGTCAAGGCAAGTGCTCTACCACTTGAGCCACAGCTCCACTTCAGGTTTTCTGGTGGTTTATTGGAGCTAAGAGTCTCATGGACTTTCCTGCCTGGACTGGCTTTGACCCACGATCCTCAGATCTCAGCCTCCTGAATAGCTAGGATTACAGACATGAGCCACCAATGTCTGGCAGCTATAGTTTTAAATGCTACCTTACTATAGGATGTTATAGATCTTATTCCTTCTATCCAAGTACACACCTGTAAAGGAATCTAAGAAGTGTCCTTGTTTTAAGTGTCATAGTTATTGAATAGCTGATATATTTTTTGCTATTGTCAAGAATTCATTGAACAGTGGTTTATAGTCATTCCATTACTTAGTTACTCAAGTTCTTCCCTAAGCAAAACCTGCATAGTTTTTTTTTAACACTAAGGTGGTTTTGATAAAAGTCCAAATTGTGTAGACCAAAAAATCATATTGCAATTCAACTACCCACATCAGACACATGATTTTATATTTCCAGAAGCAGTAGTGAATGATACTAGTAGTGAAAACAAATCTGGAGCAGCAGATATTGCAGCAAGCCAGCACGTGATGGTCTGTGCTCTCCAGGAACTTGGAAGCCTGGTGCAGAGCCTGAATGCTACAGCCTCTCCTCTTATTCAGGAAGCATCTATAGGTATGATATCTAATCATTGGCCAAAACGCTTTTGTACCATGGTTCAAGTCATATATATGGTTGATATTTGACTACTGATTGCTTACTTATTAATGTAATAAGTAGTTTAGATTTTATTAGGTTAATTTTCCTTGCTATAGGAAATACTGAATTAAATAAATACTGAATAAAATAAAGCTTAGGGAAAAAATCAAGAACTGTCAGGAGAATTGTTTCTAAGAACTGATTAAAATTTGCCGAAGATTTAATTTTATATATCCCCTTTTAATTTTATTGGACACAGTTGTACTGTGTTCTCTGTAAAAGGCTTCTTTATAGTACTTATGAACCATAAAAATGGTGTTTTGGCAAAACTGTGGAACTGTGAAATCATGGTGATTATTATTTTAGTGGTTATGTCACGCATAGCTTTTGGTTTCTGAAACCATATTTCATTAGTGTGGAGTGATGTTCTGAGGATTTCTTTTTAGGACTTCTGGAGATCGTGACTTCAGTGCTTCTTCACCCCAGCATGGCTGCGCGGCTTGCTGCTGCTTGGTGCTTGCGCTGTGTGGCTGTGGCACTACCTTTCCAGTTGACACCATTTCTAGACAGGTGTGCAGAGCGGCTCAACAACTTGAAAACTTCACCTGAAGCTGTTAGTGGATATAGTTTTGCAATGGCTGCTTTGTTAGGTGGAGTTCATCAATGTCCTTTGGGCATTCCTCATGCCAAAGGAAAGGTAAGGCAGAGGTCTTGGATGTGTGAATGATCTCAGGTGGGCTGCAGTCTTTTCTGGAGCACTGCTATCTTTAATGTTTAGCTGGGAGATAGAATGACAACAGTTTTATTTGGTAACTAGGATATAATACTAACAGACCCTAATTAAAAATTGGATATTTAATTCTTTTTTCGGGGATCCAGTCGTGGGGCTTGAACTCTGGGCCTGGGCACTGTCCCTCAGCTCTTCAGCTCAAGGCTAGCGCTCTACCACTTGAGCCACAGCACCACTTCCTACTTTTTTCTTTTTGCTTATGTGGTGCTGAGGAATCGAACCCAGGGCCTCATGCATGCAAGGCAAGTGCTTTACACTGAGCCATCTTTCCAGCCCCTGGATATTTAATTCTAATGAGGAAATATAATGGTTTTTTTTTTCTGAGTATAACATCATGTTGTAACTTATTTTAGAGGGAAAATAGCCTGTAGTAATTTTTTTAAACTCAGAACTGTTTTCTCAGGATTTTGTTTTTGTTTTTCTTTTTGTGATTAAATCTTGCCTGGTTGCCAAGTCTGGCCTTGAACTCCTAGATTCAAGTTATCCTCCTGCCTCAACCTCTTGTATAGCTGGGACTACAGGTCTGTGCTCCTGTGCCTAGTGTTCTTGTTGTTTTTAGAAATAAAAGTCAGCATTACTGTATTCAAAGATGGTAGGAGAATATGCTATTGCCCTATATAGCATTTTAATTAAAAATTAAGTGGTTTTAATCTGTTCTTTATTTTCTTCTATATTTTACTATTATGGTTTCCTTCTTAGGATTCTTAGGTACATAAAACCTTATATAAATAGATTGCAGCTAGATTTTAAATTATTTTTCCTGGGACATTAGTTCCAGCTTCATTCATTCTTACAAGTTTCATAGTTACTACTTGAGGACCCTAAAGCCTCCTTCTCATTTTGTGATATGTTTGCTTTTTCCTTGATTATCCGTCTTTTTCTTCCATCTTTTCTACAGCATGTTCATGTTTGCTCTGATGTTCTACTTTGTCTATTCCTTATGCTTTTTCTATGCCCATTTCAGCTTCCAAAACTGTCTTACAGTAGAATTTATTATTCCCTTATTTGTTTAGAGGCCCATTTTAAATTCACTCTCCTTGAATTCTCCTTAAGACTATTTACTTGCTGGGCCTGGTAGCACATGTCTGTAATACCAGCATTCAGGAGGCCAGAGGGTTGTGAGTTCAAAGCCAGCCTGAGCTACATAGTGAGACCCAGAATAAAAAATAAACCAAAAAAAATCCCATTCTATTCTATTCTAATATATTACTACATCTGTATTACTATTTGTCATTTAATCATATGTTGCATCCTGCTTTCGGTTTTTCTAAACAGAGAAAGATCTTCTCATAATATTAGCTTAAGAACAGGTGCATTAATTTATATAATCCTCACAAGAATAAGATAGGTAACACTATCGTTCCTATCTTAACAAGACAGAACTGAAGCAGAGAGGTTAGATTGTTCCAGGTCAGTGTCAAGATACCAACTGAGGAGCCACCGGCTCGAACTACTCTGAACATTGAACCATTCTGGAGGTTTTAATGTTGACTTTGAAAGTTTATTGATCCCAACACCATGAAAGGACAACTTCTTTTGAAATAAAATATGCTAGTTCTCTATTGTCACATTTGATTTCATCAACTTTCATAGATTAAAATCTAATTGCAGCTTCTCTTTGCAGATGGTAGTTAGTATTGCTGAAGATCTGTTACGAACTGCTGCCCAGAATAGCAGATTGTCCTTACAGCGCACCCAAGCCGGATGGCTTTTACTTGGAGCACTCATGACTCTAGGTACAATTGTATCTGACTAGGTTTTTAGTTTACTGTGTTATTGTCAGTGCACTATAAAGCAAATTTAATTTAAAAGTATTAATCTTCACAGTCTAGTCTTGTAATGAGGTTGTAAATAATAAGGATGTTTCCTTTTCTATTCTATGGTAACATCTATGCAAGGACATTCAATGAGAAAGCTTTTACCAAAGCTTCACCTTTAGTAAAAGAATAGCTGTTAACCATTTGCTACTTTATGAGCTTATTGCTAATGAAAAGAGTTGGGAATATGGGAGTTGGGGAATCCCAATTCCTAAATGAAGTCCTGATTTTAAGAATGAGAAAGTCACATTTAAATGGTGCTGCTTGTGGAAGATTATGTGCAAAACTTTCGTAAGTGCTATGATAAGTCTTAGATATGGGAATAGTTGAGCAGGATCTGTTAAGCCAGAAACACATACTATTGTAATAAGCTATGTCTACTCTTTAATTTACATATTTATCTGCTACTTACAAAGTGTGTATGTTCACTGTTCTAATCTTCTATCTATGGGAAATGATACTTTAGCCTAGTTTTCTAAAGAAAACAAAAGTAACTCTTTCCTAGAAGTTTATGTTTAGTATGTAAGTGGTGTGTTAAATGAATGTTTCAGCAATGGAAGTATAAGTTCTTAGAGCTTAATATGTTTTTGTATAATTAATTAAATATATACATTTCCCAGAATGGAAGAATATGTACTATATATGTCTGGAATAGCTATATTTTCTATGTATGGCTGTATATGTGGAAAAGACCTTATACAATGTGTTTCAGGTAGATTTTATTATTCATTTTAGTGTACTATATGTATTCTACTAGTCTGAATATAGTTGCATAGTTTTTTTGTATATTTTATATTTGATACTAAAAATACTGGTACTTTTAAACTGACATTTATCATGTTTTAAAGATTTTTTTTTAATGATCATTAGATGAAAAATACTTTCAGGCCAGGTACAGGTGACTTATGGTTGTAATTCTACCCAGTTGGCTGAGATCTAGGATGTGGGTTTGAAGCCAGCCTAGAGAGGAAATTCTGAGTCTTATCTCCAGTTAACCACAAAAATCCAGAATAGAGCTGTGGCTCAAGTGGTAGAATGCTAGCCTTGAGCAAAAAAGCCCAAGGATAGCAACACACACACACACACACACACACACACGTGTTAATTCTAGGGATTAAAAAGTAGAGTAGGGCTGGGAAAGTGGCTCAGTGATAGAGCGCTTGCCTCGCATGCTCAAGGCCCTGGGTTCGATTCCTCAGCACCACATAAGCAAAAAGAAAAAAGACGGAAGTGGCGCTGTGGCTCAAGTGGTAGAGCGCTAGCCTTGAGCTGAAGAGCT